AGACGCCGCGCGGTGACGCATTGAGTCCTCCGCGTGAACTTGGCTTCTTCAGTCGCGACCAAACAAACAATGCCCGTGGCGGCCTCGGTCTGCAGCCTGGCGGCACCCAGGCAGAGCGGGCTTGTGCGTGTGTGTGTGTCTGTGTGTGTGTCTCTGTGTGTGTGTGTCTCTGTGTGTGTGTGTCTATGTGTGTGTGTCTGTGTGTGTGTGTCTGTGTCTCTCTTGTGTGTGTCTGTGTGTGTATGTGTATGTGTCTCTCTGTGTGTGTGCGTGTGTGTGTCTCTGTGTGTGTGTATGTCTGTGTGTGTGCGTGTGTGTGTCTCTCTGTGTGTGTCTCTCTGTGTGTGTGCGTGCGTGTGTGTCTCTGTGTGTGCGCGTGTCTCTGTGTGTGTGTGTATCTGTGTGTATCTCTCTATGTATGCGCGTGTGTGTCTCTCTCTGTGTGTGTGTGTGCGTGTATGTGTCTCTGTGTGTGTGTGTGCATGCGTGTGTATGTGGGGAGCGGTGGTGTAGTGGTTAGCGCGCTGCGCTATGAACCTGGCGACCCGGGTTCGATTCCCGCTCACGGCTAACACCAGTGACGATTATCTGAACCGGTCCCGGGCCTCCCCTAGGTCGACTCAGCATCAAATGAGTACGTGGTGCGATGTGTAAACATCGTCACTGGGGAGACAAAGGCGGCCGGGCGTGGTGTTGGCCACCCACCCCCTCGTGTACCGTGCTGGCCTTCATAGGTGCTCGCTAACAGCACTTGCCCCTACAGTCTGTTAAGCCTATATGGGGGATCTTTGTCTTTGTGTGTCGGGAACGGTAGCGCCGCGCTTCGAACCCGGCAACCCGGGTTCGATTCCCGCACACGGCCAACACCGGTGACGATTATCTGTACCGGTCCTGGGCCTCCCCTAGGTCGACTCAGCCTCAAATATTGTAAAACATCGATGTGGAAGAGACAAAGGCGGCCCATTGTGTGTCGATGCCGGCCTTCAGAGTTGCTCGCTAACAGCACTTGCCCCCCCCCGTTAAAGGCTACACGGGGGATCTTTGTCTTTGTGCTCCAGCGCTAGCCTCGTATTTGCTGCAGAGTCCTTCCCTGCGAGCACGGCGATTGCGTCCGGGGTTACAAGGCCTGGGTCGTTGATAACACATCATCATCATCAACAACAGCAGCAGCAGCAACAGTAACAGCAGCAGCCATGGTCATTCCACCGCTGGATGAAAGCCGCCGCCGTCATGAAGCGATGTTAGATAACAAAGGTACCGACATGTTGGCTGTTAGCGAGCAGCTATAGAGGTCGACACCAACACCACGTCCGGGCGCATGTGACGTTTACACACCGCGCCGGATGCTCGTCCGAGGCTGAGTCGACCTAGGGGAGTCCCAGGACCGGTTCAAGTGCACGCTTTGATTGCGGCGCGTCGAGCATTCCGGGGTTCCGATTGTTGAGTTACGCATCGCGCAGGATCAGTCACTTGAGTGCAGTGTCTTCATGCCCTGCCCCCCCGTTGTCGCTCTCCACTGCTGGATGGTGCTGGATGGTTGCGGGTAGTGATGAATTTCTCGCGACGTGAATGGCATGGGCTCCCCCCCCCCACCACCGTCTTCTCGTCGCAGCGATGATAACAAAACATTACACAAACCCATTCGCCTATTTGGCAACGGGATTTTACAGCGCAGCGTGCAAAGGGTTAAAAAACGCGAGTTTGACCCACATCTACGCACACACACACACAACATGTTTGTAAACGCTGTTGTTTCAAGGGTGCGATTTGGGATGGCTGAGCCCCAACTAATCTTAGCTGTATTGCGCTGTGTGTGTGTCAGTAGTGCCCATGTGTGTGCTCATGTGCTTATGTATGTGGCCTGTGTGTGCCTTTGTTTATGTGGGGAGCGGTGGTGCAGCGGTTAGCGCTACGCTGCGCTACGAACCCGGCGACCCGGGTTCGATTCCCGCTCACCAGTGACGATTATCTGTACCGGTCCTGGGCCTCCCCTAGGTCGGCTCAGCCTCAAATGAGTACCTGGTGCGGTGCGTAAACATCGCTACTAAAAAAGACAAAGGCGGCCGGGCGTGGTGTTGGCCAACCACCCCCTCGTGTGCCGTGTCGGCCTTCATAGGTGCTGCTCGCTAACAGCACTTGCCCCAACAGTCTGTTAAGGCTACACGGGGGATCTTTGTCTTCCTGTGTGTCTAAGAGAGAGAGATATTCTGTATGTGTGTGTGTATACGCGGGAGGCTTGCACACGAATAACATCAGGCCCGGGATAAAGGCTATCAATGCAGTATATAATTACAGAATACGTGTCATTGCTCCTGCGTGAATGCGTGCGCAACGCGTCCGTGTCTTTATGTATGAATGCGCACGCGAGTTGTTTACGAATGTATCTCCACTCACGAATGACTCATTGTGCTCCGTGAACACAACGCGATGTTTCCGCGTGCATGGCAGGCACGCTGCGCCACGCGGCTGTGTCGTGGTTGTGGTGGCTCACACAACCGCGTCGTGTTTTCATTTTAACACGACACGCGCGCGCGCGCGCACGCCACTTTAACGCGCTCTGCCCACGCCGTGTTGTGTTCACGGGTAAAAACGCTTACCGTAATTGACACATGAACACACCGTTTCATGAGCCAATACAAACCCCCCCCCACTCCACCTCCCCGAACTAAAATTATCGAGTGAACGTTTCGGGCGGCGACCCTTCACTAGGAGCAGATCATTAACGTGACCGTGTGCACGCGTGTGTGACGCGCGCGCAACGGATGAACGATCGGATCGAGGCGCGATGCTGTAATGACTTTTATTTCCTATGAAACAGATAAATAACCCTGCAAGTGCGATCGACAATAGCCCTAACTAACTGGCATATATATATACCCTACGTCACGAAATCCCTCCCCGTCCCACTACAGATATATACTACACATGGGTTCAATTGACACCGACACAATTATACTGTTCCCAAAAACAGTCGCCTTTTTTTGTTTGCTGTTTGTTGCCTTAATTTAGTCTTCATAAATACACCCAACATACATACACGCGCTCAGTAAAATGTACATCATCCCCTTTTCTGTTGATCCGCTGTGTTTAGGTTTTTTTTCTCTCTCTGCAGCGTTCGATATATTATACAAATACCACGAATGACCGCTTCGGCAGCGTTGCACTCTATGTACAAAGCAGAGTGGCATGGGGAAGGCCTGGGTCACACACACACACACACGCACGCACGCGCGCGCCGTCCGTAACAAAAGGCTGGACAACGAGCGGATACATATCAAATAATAATACAAATGTACACTGCAGGTAAGTTGTACTTCATGGCTCCAGAGAGAGATAGAGAATGAGCGGAGAGAGAGAATGAGAAAGAATGACAGAGAGAGAGAATGAGAGAGAGATGAATCATGGTGATCAATATAACACAAACTCAACACATTTGTCAATAACACTATGCACTAACAGGAACAAATTACGTATAATATTAGGCGACGTTTCGGACAGCAGGCCCTTCTTCAGAGCACACGTTAGTGTGTAAGAAACATCATCGCCCCTGAAACGTGGTCTAATTATATATTTCATTGACATTTCACGGAAGTGGTATTTTTTTTAAATTATATTTTTGGACGGAATATGTCGTGGTTTTGGTTGTCGTTGATATTATTGTTATTAAGTGTGCTCATGATGCACCACTATACAATTGGCAGTATCACACAGAAATAAAATAACGTTATGAGCATTGTAATCATCATCAGCATCACCATGATCAGCAAACCATCATCCTGAAACAATACACATGCCTCCGCCCGTATACCTCCGTGTAGCTGGCTTTAGAAGCTCAAAAGTATAAACAGTGTTCGTCCACACGTTGAGCAGCAGCAGCAACAACAACAATATTATTTACAGCAGATGATAACATCAAACAAATGGACTCAACAATAACCGCTGGCCTCGCTGGCGCCCTGGCAATGGTTAAGTGCATGCCCGTCCATTGCGAATGCCGCCACCCACCCACCCAACCACCCACACCCCCCCTCTGCATCGATGTACTCCACCCACAAAGACAAAGGTCCCCCATATAGCCCGCACAGGCTGCTGGAGGCAAGTGCCGTTAGCGAGTGGCAACCTATTGAAGGGCCCGCACGCCACACTGAGTGGGTGGGTGGAACCCGCCAACTGCGCCCCGCCCGGCCGCCTTTGTCTCCCCGAGTGTCGATCTGTACTGCACACACCGCTTGCACTGCACCAGGTACTCATTTGAGGCTGAGTCGACCCTAGGGGGGGGGGGTTAGGCCACCAGGTGCAAGACAATCGGCTGAAGCCGTGAACGGGAATTGAAATCTGAGTTGGCCGCCGGGTTCGGAGCGTAGCGTGCTAACTGCAGCGCCACCGCTCCCCACACAACATAAAACCCCCACCCTCGCCAATACCCCAATCTTATAAATAGACACAAATTACAACTCGCATCTCCCAGCTGGGACAAGCTTTAAAAAAAATAAAAAATATGAGGTCACGTGATAGATATATATATATATATAGTTTGGTATGTCGGAAGAGAAAATAATACCAATAAATTATGTCATGTAATATGTATTATTTTCCTTTAAAAAAACCCAAGACGTATTTATATAAATATATAACAATCCGTTATGGCGAACGGCGAGACAAAAGTAACATGTGTTTTAAAAACGATGTTTGCATTAAACTGTAAGACATTCAAATCATGGAGAGAGAGCGAGCGAGCGAGCGAGGTGACGGTTGAGGAGTCAATCCGGTGATGTGTGTACAAAACGCGACCCTACAAACCTCGACCGTCGAGTGAGTGTGTGTCTATGTATGAGTGTGTGTCTATGTATGAGTGTGTGTGTATGTATGTGTATGTATGAGTGTGTGTATGTATGCGTGTGTGTGTCTATGTATGAGTGTGTGTATGTATGTATATGAGTGTGTGTGTATGTATGAATGTGTGTGTATGTATGAGTGTGTGTATGCGTGTGTGTGTATGCGTGTGTGTGTGTATGTATGCGTGTGTGTGTCTATGTATGAGTGAGTGTGTGTGTATGTATGAGTGTGTATGTATGTTTGAGTGTGTGTGTGTATGTGTGAGTGTGTGTGTATGTGTAAGTGTGTGTGTATGTATGAGTGTGTGTGTATGTATGCGTGTATGTATGAGTGTGTGTGTGTATGTATGCGCGTGCGTGTATGTATGAGTGTGTGTGTATGAGTGTGTGTGTATGTATGTGTGTGTATGTATGAGTTTGTGTATGTATGAGTGTGTGTGTGAATGTATGTTTGCGCGTGCGTGTATACGTGGATTTGCGTGCGTGCGTGAAGTGTACGTTGAGACCGCTGTGTGTGTGCACGCGCAAGTGTGGATCGTGTGACGTGCAGGCCTTCATAGGTGCTCGCTAAACAGCACTTTCCTCCAAAGTATGCTAAGGCTACACGGGGGATCTTTGTCTGCGTGCGTGTGCGAGCGTGTGTATATATATGTGGATATGTGTGCGTATGGGAAGTGTGCGTGTGCCCGTCTGTAAATGCGTATGGATGAGTGCGTGTGTGTGCGTTCGTGTGTCTTTGTTGAGGGAGCGGTGGTGTAGCGGTTAGCGCGCTGCGCTACGAAACCTGGCCACCCGAGTTCGATTCCCGCTCACGGCCAACACTAGTGACGATTTATCTGAACCGGTCCCGGGCCTCCCCTAGGTCGACTCAGCCTCAAATGAGTACAGTACCTGGTGCGGTGTGTAAACATTTCCACTAGGGGAGACAAAGGCGGTCGGGCGTGGTATTGGCCACCCACCCCCTTGTGTGCCGTGCTGGCCTTCATAGGTGCTCGCTAACAGCACTTGCCCCTAAAGTCTGTTAAGGCTATACGGGGGATCTTTGTCTTGTGTGTCTTTGTACACGCGCATATGTGTACGTATGCATTGTATACAACATATTAATTCGCGTCTATGTGTTTATGTACAGGAGTGTACACTAGTTTGCATGATTAAACGTGTGTATGAGTTCATACACGAATGGATGTGTACACATTTCTGCGTGTGTGTTTGGGAATGTGTCGGAGTATACGATCGGTTTAAACTCGTGCCTACGTTTGGTTTTGTGTGCCGTATACGAGTGCCACGTGTGCGCGTGTACTGTGTGTGTTGGCGTACCTGTGTACACGTGTAATTGTGTGTGTGTGTCCGTGTACTTGTGTATTTGTGTTTGTGTGTACTTACGTGTGTACTTGTGTGTGCGTGTGTCCGTGTACGTGTGTGTCCGTGTACTTGTGTGTGTGTACTTGCGTGTGTAATTGTGTGCGTGTGTGTCCGTGTACTTGTGTGTGTATTTGTATTTGTGTGTACTTACGTGTGTACTTGTGTGTGCGTGTGTCCGTGTACTTGTGTGTGTCCGTGTACTTGTGTGTGTGTGTACTTGCGTGTGTAATTGTGTGCGTGTGTGTCCGTGTACTTGTGTGTGTATTTGTATTTGTGTGTACTTACGTGTGTACTTGTGTGTGCGTGTGTCCGTGTACTTGTGTGTGTCCGTGTACTTGTGTGTGTGTACTTGCGTGTGTGTCCGTGTACTTGTGTGTGTGTACTTACGTGTGTACTTGTGTGTGCGTGTGTCCGTGTACGTGTGTGTGTACTTACGTGTGTACTTGTGTGTGCGTGTGTCCGTGTACTTGTGTGTGTATAATTACGTGTGTACTTGTGTGTGCGTGTGTCCGTGTACTTGTGTGTGTCCGTGTACGTGTGTGTGTACTTGTGTGTGCGTGTGTAGTCGTATATATATATATACGTGCGCTCCAGTCCGACCGTACGTCTCATTGTGCCTCATAACGCCCGGGCGAGCACTCCACCCGTGGGAGCCGAGGGCACGCAGTGAGCCTTCCCACTGCTGCTGCTGCCGCCGCCGCTGCTGCTGCTGCTACCATTGCTGTTGCTGCCACCACCACCACCACCTCCACCACCTCCACCACCTGCAGTCATCACCACCGCCGCTCCACCGTTCGCCTGCACAGCCCCGCCGGGACCCGAGGAGCGGATCTTGGTGTTGGGCAGCTTGTGGTCCTTCTTCCACTTCATGCGCCGGTTCTGGAACCAGATCTTGATCTGGCGCTCGCTCAGGCAGAGCGAGTGCGCGATCTCGATCCGCCGTCTCCGAGTGAGGTAGCGGTTGAAGTGGAACTCCTTCTCGAGCTCGAGCACCTGCTGGCGCGTGTAGGCCGTGCGGGAGCGCTTCGACTCCCCGCCGATGTAGTTGGGGTTGACTGCGGGCGGGCGTCGTGACGTTTGGTGTTGGCGGTGGTGGTGGTGATGGAGAGACGTGGAGGGAGAAGGGAAAACATGGGGGGGAGAGGGAGGGAAGAGGGGGGGGAGAGCGGAAGTGGACAAGAGGTTTGGGTGGAAGATGAGGCGATGATAGGGAGGAGGAGGAGGAGGAGGAGTGTTGATATCGGAGGGGGACAGCGTTAGAAGGCGAAACTTCACGAGCGCACAAAGCCAATCACCGGCTCGACATTCGACAGATTTACGAGCGACGTCGCGCCTAAGCAGCGGCCAGAGGTCGTGCCGAATCGTGAAATATCTCTTCTCAGTCTCTCTCTTCTCAGTCTCTCTCTCTCTGATTTCTCTCTCGTTCAACTCTGTCGATTAAAAAAAGCCCCAAATAATCTACGAAGCGTGTTGCTCTCTCTCTCTCTCTCCCTGTGAAGAAGTACCTCCTCCCCCCTGTGCCCGCGTGTCTCGCACGCCACGGCGTCTCTGGGTCTCGACGCGACGGGTTTGGCACGCGTGCGGTGTTGCACGGCTCACATCGTCAAGGCGCGTTGATGCTCACGGAGCGACCGCGCGCGAGTCGAGTGAAGAGCCCCGATCACTCGACTCGCGCTCCGCGGTGCTGGCGCTCGCAGTCGCGACCGATGGATGGTCATGTCGGTGGCTGCTCGTGGTGGTGCTGGTGGTCATGGTGGTTATAGTGGCTGGTGGTCGTGGTGATGGTGGTTGTCATGGTGGTTATAGTGGCTGGTGGTCGTGGTGATGGTGGTTATAGTGGATGGCGGTGGTGGTTATTGGTGGCGGTGGCGATGGTGGCATTTAGTGGTTGACGTGATGGTGGTTGTATTGTCTGATGGTGGTGGTGGTGATGGTGGTTATATGGTCTCGAGGTGGTGGCGGCTAGCGATGGTGTTGCTACTGCTGCTCGTTCATTCCACAGCGGCGGCCGTATCGGTAGTCGCCGTGGTCGGGGTCGTGGTGACACTGCAGGTGCTGATTGCGTTGCTGCTGCTACCTTCAGTGAGCACGCTCGCCGTTCGCAAATTTCCACGCGCGCCAAATCATCACAAGATCGACTAATACGAAACAAACGTACACGCACCGCCATAAACACGCATTTTAATTTACGGCGCCCGTTTCGTAAAATCAATTAGACGAGCAAGGTGGAATTTAGTTTTGCACGTTAGGCAGTGGGTTTAAAATTAGACCCCCACCCCCCCTCGGAGCGAGCCCTTTTTTGGAATAAAAACACATCTGTCATTTTTTTGTTTCACCCCGTCCAGAAATGATGGCGGTGCCTGAGATTTACCGTCGCACGGAATTCAACATCAACATCACCACATTGAACTCTGGCCGTGCGCACCACCGGCACTCACCCTTCCACGGCACTCACCCTTCCACGGCACTCACCCTTCCACGGCACTCACCCTTCCACGGCACTCACCCTTCCACGGCACTCACCCTTCCACGGCACTCACCCTTCCACGGCACT